TTATTGTGGGAAGTAACCATAACCGACATATAGAACATGTGAGTTAAAGAGTACTGGGACTCGACATTCTAAATCATTGGAGCTTGCCACCGACGGTCCGTGGTCCGACTGACAGACCGTTGGTGGTTCTGTCTCTAGTGGCACCAGACTCTAAAATCCTGCAATTTATCTTTTTTTTAAACTTGAGGCGTTACATTTCACGCATACTTAGAAATTGTAACCGACTAATTTTTTCCTCTCCTCTATATAATCAATATTTCTCTCTCATGCTATGACTCCACCAATTTATCATGACTTATTTTTAAGTTCGTCAAGTTCAAATAAGAGATTTTAATCATTTTAATGATTATTCATATCAAGTAATGATGTTAGTTAATAGTAAGTGTATCTACACATTTCTTCTTCCAATGGCAACATGTAACACCTCGCACCTAGAAACAACTATAAAGAGTTTAAAATATGAAAATATTGATTTTTGGAAAGAATAAGAAAATCTGAAAATTTTGTCCAAGTTAAGAAAGTGAGTTTTGGTCATTTTCAAACGGCCATAACTCCTAGCTCAGGATGAGTTAGGAGCATATCTTGATATGGTTGCAAATCCCTTGGAGAGATCTTTCCAACTCCGCCAAGTTTGTACGATTTCAACATCGTATGAGTGAGATATGCCTTCCGGAAGTTGGCCTGTTGGATTGAGGAAAGTCTCAATCCGGATTTAGGGAAGGGCAAAGTAGTTTTTTCTCTAATTAATTTCCTAATTCGTTTTTAGGGATTTATTGGGGTAAAAACATGACTTAGTCAGTTTGGAGAATTGAGAAATACACTTAGGGCTTGGAGAAAAGAAGAAAGAAAGGGAGAAAAGCCAAGATTTCGCCAAGAACGTCAAGCGTTTGAAGTGGAATTCATCGAGGGTGATGCCTATTAAGGTATGTGAGATATTTTAGTGATGGGTTAGTTCACCCACACACCAACTTGTTTCAATTCAGCAATTTTGGGTTGTTCATATGTAAAATGGTGAAGTTCTTGAAGGACATAATTAAGTTCTTGATTGGTTGTGTTGTTGAAGTTTCTTGTGGATTTGATTTGTGGTTCCAAGTGAATTTTCAAGTTAAATTTGTTGTATGTTGAGGGTACTATTGATCCTAAGTGTTTGGGGAACGAACCATTGAAGTTTAGAGGGTTTAGAGATGAAAAACGAATGAGAGAAATTGGGTATTTTTTGGGCAAAGGCTTGGGGCGCCGCGCCTGCCAGAGCCCCACAGGCAGCCCTCTGAAGTTTGAGGGCTGGTGCCCCGCGCCAGGGACACCAGTTCTCCCCATTCGTTCCCCATCTTTTCGTACTAGTTCCTAAGTGATGTACCTATGTTTCCTAGTTGATTCTAACACTCTAAGGTACATCTAAACATCATGAAATCATCCATAAACATGAGATCATGAACCTTGAATCCATAATCCAATTCAAGGAAAGTTAAGATCAAAGTCAAAAGAAGTTAAGAGTCAAGTCTAGTAGTTAAGAAGCAAGTCAAAGCAAAGTTTCTTAAAATTTTCAAGAGTCTTTAACAATGTTCTAACTTCGTTTTAAGACTCAAGTTTTCAAGTTAAGCAAAGAGTAAAGAGTTGAGTCCATTTCTCAAAAAGTTATAAAGGAACTAAGTATTCCCAAAGAGTTTATAAATGTTTTCACATTTGAGCAAGAAAAGGAAACATTGATTCCAAGAGAGCTTTTAAGCTAACTTTTGAGTAATTATCTCAATTCAAAGAAAGAGTTTTGTTTTTACAAACATATGAGCTAAGTATATTTTGGGAGTAGTATTGAGCACCGATATGGGGATGCGAGTTCATATTAACTCAAGTCTCTATAAACCATGTAGCCATCATGGGTAGTAAATGATCATACTTTTTAGATGACTCCTTAAGATGCTTTTAACATAGACTAGTGGATCCACTAAGTTAATCGTTCTATATGACGGCAAAGTATAGGACAGTTCTGGCAGCATGGGCAAGACGTTGTATCACCACTTAGGCTCATAGTGGTGGTTGTTGATTAGAGAATCTCCCACAAAAGTTATATTACTTTTATATTAAAGTAAAGTTGAGTTTGTTATTGTTTTATCTTTAACGAACTAAGTTGTTTACATTGTTTTACAAGCTTTATATATATTGCATGTGTCTTATTGCTTTATATTGAGTTTAGTTGTTCATGAGTTAAACAAAGCCAAGGTAAGTGTTCTTTTGTACTCCTTACAAGCTTAAGTTGTGGTTCAGCTTTCCAACTCGCATACTGGTACATTCAATGTACTGATGCCAGTTGGCATGCATCTTATTATGATGCAGATACAGGTAACCAGGATCAGCATCCAGCACGCCGTTGATCCAGTTGAGCACTCCAGAGTCTGTGGTGAGCCTTCTTATATTTCGGAGGACTCTGTTATTTCGTTTTCCTAGTTTTGCTTTATTAGGATGTTGTGGGGGCTGTCCCAACATCCATCTCAGTATTATAGAGGCTTCATAAACAGTCAGACAGTTAGTATTGAGTCTCTCATTTAAGTATTTACAGATACTTTGTTTTTAGACATAAGTTGCTATTTTGGCTAAGATGTTATCATTTAAACTATTGCATTGAGTTTATTCTGTTGAGTTAAGTCTTCCGCTGAGTTAAGTAAGCTAGGCCAAGGGTCCGCTTGGGGGCCAGCGATAGTCTCCGAGTGTCGGTCCCGCCCAGGGTGTAGACTCAGGGCGTGACACAACATTGTTGCTGAATGACAGTCATCGAAACATAAAGTATCATATAGGTATGTGATTTCTTTAACGTATCTATTGTATCATAATACACCATGTATCATTTTTTAGAGTCATTCCCCATTCATGCGGGGGATTGTTAGGTTTTAAAAGGTGTGAACGGAAAAGGACGGGTTGTAACTTTTCTGAAAGTTTTTGAAGGATTGTGACTTTTCTAAAGAGTTGCGATTTTTTCAAAAGGTTATGACTTTTACAAAGGGTTGTGACTTTTTCAAAGGGTTATAAATTTTTCAAAGGGTTGTGATCATACTACCCTTTGTTGTTTATAAATAAAGCGGTTTTCTCTCATTATTCAATAACGAATTTTCTGAACTTATTCTTATTATGCACAAATAAATTCTAATGTATTTTATTATCATTGGGTGGTTCGCTGACACCATGATTTTAGGTACCAATACACTGGTGAGTGAGATTGTTCTATCTTTAGAGGATATGTTCCATTAATCTGGGATATATGTGGGAATATTTTTTTTAAGGACACATTGTACATTCAGTAACCTCGATTTTCTTCTTTTCGGTGTTGTTTCTGATTTGTTGCAGATTATATTTTCTTTATTGATTTGAACTTTCTGATTTTGAAAATATACTTTAAACTTTGTTGTTTTTTATGAAGTTCTACAAAGTTATTGTTCTAAAGTATCTTAGTAATGTAGATTAAAGGGAAAAGGATAAATATACCCCCCAAACTATTGCAAATGGTATCTAAATACCCTCTAATATACTTTATGGACATGGATGCCCTTATCGTCTAACTGTTGGAGTGTATATATCTTTGGACTAACTGAGGGACACGTGTCATGATCTTAACGGCCTATCCAAATTTAATTTAATTTTTATCCATAATTAAAAAATCGACCCAAATAATTTAAGATTAGCACCAAATTATAACCCCAAACCTTCAATAGACTATCTTCTCGAATCTTTTCCTTCCAAAAAGAGAAGGTTAGAGGTTGTTTTTTTAGTTAAATATCATATTGCTACCCTAATTTAAGATGATTATCATCAACAAAGTAAGATTTACTAAACTCTTTTCAGACATAACAAAGGACACAAATAGAAACTCTTTGAATGTATGGGTAGAACCTCAGGGATTTCTCAGTCGATGGAACTGAGATTGATTTTTTTTTTTGAATTACAAAGTGTCTTCTTGGCCGCCACTGTTGAAGTTCTGTAAGGAGAGCTAGAGGTGTGCTCGCCGGAGTTGGTGGAACAGTGGTGAGGGAGAGATGATTGTGTGGTGGTCAGGTTTCGTGGTGGTCGAAGGGTCGCGGCCTCGCTAGTTTCACCGGAGCAAGGGCGACTGGGTGTGGTATAACTGGTTCGTGGAGTCTTTGGTTGTTTAAACTAGAGAAGAAAGGGAAATGAGATTTATTTAGGCGAGTGTCTTAAAATTATTTGGTGGGTTTTTAATTATTCGGGTCGATTTTTTAATTATGGATAAAAATTAAATAAAATATGGATAGGTCGTTAAAATCATAACATGTATCCCTCCTTTAGGTCAAAGGGTATATACACTCCAAAAATTAGACGATAAAGGTATTAGTGTCCTAAAAGTATAACTGAGGGTATTTAAAGGTCATTAACAATAATTCGAGGATATATTTATCATTTGTTCTCTAAATTAAATAATAGTAATGATCTAAAGAAACAATACCTATAGATTCATGATCCACGCTACTTTTTCGGCATTTAGAAACCACTCCATAGAAATTGATATTACAAAATTGACGAGGCCCATAGGCTCTTGTTCCCTCAAGTTCCTCAACTAATATTTCAACAAAAATTATAAAAAAAAAAAAAAAAACCTCCTTTTTACATGTGCTTAATTAGGCCTTCCAACTTTACTTTTCTTCTTATCCCAATTGCCCAAACTCAAACACACAAAAAAAAATAAAAAAAATTAGAGAATCGTAATTTAAAAAAATATATATTGCTGCAAAAAGTTGAGCTTCGTTTCTCAAACCAATTGCTATTATCAACAGAGCCATGGCAATATGAACATCATTTCTTGATAGCCACGTGTCAAAACCCCATTACGTTTGCCATAGAGCACGCCGTGACCCGCATGTCACTTTATCATAATCCACTATGTGCAATCCACTCAAACGGGCCGGGTCCACATATCGGACTGTCAGTAGCTATAACGGGTTGAGTTGCGCTGAGTTGTTGTGTTTATTTGAAAGATTTCGGGCTAAAGGTGGTAAAATATTATTTTTTACTGTGGTAATTTTTGGGTAATATTATTATTTACAGAGAAAAGTGAATAAACTGGTCTGTGATCTGAGAATTTTGATTCACCTCTAACATAACATATTTGCTTTAGTCCTTCACCTTTCCATAATATCCTGTCACACCTGTTATTTTAAGAAAAAAACTATGTTTCAGTACAAATTTTTTTCCTCATAAAGGAGTAAAATAGGGTACTAGCATGCAAAAATAAACAACATAAAAGCATTTTAAGTCCAAGAATCCTGGAAAAGAAAAAGGTTGAGTAGAAAGGCTAAAAATTGCAACTTTTTTGACAAGCCAAGTACTATGAAAAAAAGTGTGGAACAAAATCTAATAGGTTTATTGCCTATGTGCAATTAATTAAGCAACAACAAAATAGTAGTTTCAATGTGCAATTAATTAAGCAAAATTTGAGATTACTATGATTGATTATTTGTGTAGTAGCATAATTGGCATTGGAAAATTTTGGATGGTCTTCAACTAATGATGTTCAAATAATGTGAATAGTTTTCTCACTACCACTATAAAGAGTTATGCTGAAATAAATAAGATTTGTCTATCTTTATTCAGAATACTCATATTTTAGTTTTGAATACTGAAAAAATCATGTTACAAAATGGTGACATGAATTTGAACTAATCGAAACCTTTAATACCACTATCACATACTAACATCGAGTGGGAAACATAAAGGCATTCCAACCACCACAAACCACCACCACACCCCCACCCCTATTAGAATATGTTTCAAGATTAACTATATTTAGTATTTGGTGTAACAGAACAAAGAGATAATGTAGATTAGTGTTTGGGCCTACAAGGTAGACTTCTTGAGTGGGAAAACCATCAATATTAGTTAAATTTCTACATATGTTTAAGAATAAAGTTGACATAACATTTAGCATAAGATTATTGTTATTGGTGCAAACTTATATATATATATGGTCGGTGCATCAACCCCCCACCCCACCATACAAAATGTTGAAAAAATAAAACCTATTGAAGTGAATCCTTCCCTAATTTCTACATCTTTGACTTGGACTTTCAAGAATGTAGTATAGTATGGAATATTAGTCAATTGAAAAAATGATCGTACAAAAGTTATTTACAATATACAACTAAATAGAGTTCATTAATGGAATCATGTTAATCTAGAACTTTCTACACAGACTAGGAAACAGGCATGATGACCAACACTTGCTTTCTAGACTCTTTTATTTATTAGTAAAATCTACAACATCGGTTGATTAATGTTTCATATGCATGCACCTCATTAATATATAAAAATTTGAAATTAGCTACGGACTTTGTCGATAATAGCCTGAAATATTAAAATAGAGTAAATTAAGAAAATTTACCAGGCAGGGGTCCTTGTCTTTTCCTTGGATGTACATGTATGAGCAACATAATGGTCAGAATTATAGAGGTATTTGTATGTTGGTGCAAAGTAAATTCTTCCTTCCTTCCAACCATTAAATATTCTTCCTGCTCTTTGCTCTATCCTTAACTGTCATAACATATTTTTAAAAAAGAAATAAATTAACATTCATTTTGAAGCTCAATAGAAAAAAACATATATATAACTTATAAGTAATAGACTAACAGATAATATAAACATCATGAGTTGTTCTATAAAAAAATCTATTATCGTACCTGATCTTTCTCCAGAAGTGTTTCCCAATCACTATTTTTAACCAATTCGTACGTGTCCTCGCAACCCGATGCAAGACGATAATTCAAATCTCCAAGCCAAATTATCTTGCTACATTAACAAAAGATATACATTAGTCATTGCACAACATTGTTACTATATGTGTTATGTATCGTTCCAATTTTATTATCACGTACTCATGATCCAAAATGTGAGATTTTCCTATATCGGAGAATCTTGTTTTCTTCAATATCTCCATGACATGAGAATTTCTTTTAATCTCATCGCCTTCTTTTTCTCCAGATGCCAAATGAGTACAAACGAAACAAAATGTCTTGTGGTGCAATGTCATACTGATCGATATCGAACCCTATCGAGAGAAAAAAAAATACATATGTTACAATGTCCATATATAAATAAAAATTCAATATCTTACGAGTTAATTTAATTTGTACCTTATTTCCAAGATAGCCCATGATACCTGTTCCAACACATGAAACCTTCAAATTGGTAATGTGTTGATACAAGTCTTTACGAGTCCATATGCACAAAAATAACCCAACCATTTGTTTGCTTGCGGCTAAGCAATATTTACTATTTTTCCCTTGGCTAGAAGAGTTATAATAATATCGATTTGATAAGCACTTTGGACTAGGAGATACGTCGTGGTTCAGCCTCTCCCAGTCCGAGAAGCTGACCCTTGGTTTCAGACTAGATTGTTGGTAGTGCAAGTCATCAAGGGACGGGAGCTCGGAGTTAGGGGTGTTGTTGTAATTAGGAGAAAGATCGGAGGTGTTTGTGTCATTGTTCAAAGTTTGGCGAATCAACGATAGCCACTTGGAAGCTGGTCCACTGTCCTCTGGACCTAGTACATTGCCTGCATTTAGAGGGACAATTTCCTGGAACCTGTTCATAGCAGGACTTGGTTAGAATATGCAAGCAATTTTACACGGTTTATCGAGGTTGATGCATATAATTCAAGAATGTCATGAGTTATATAAATAGCTAAATTTTACATGTAACAGACACTTGAAAACATTCACAAAATTATTTTTAAAATTGAGTTTAAAATATTAGATTAAAATTATAAGTTTGAATATTCAATCAGAACAGTTATATATCTAAATAAAATTTACGTACCCGAGGACATAAATATCGGCTGGTGCACTAGAATTCAACCAATCAGCCAAGTTCAATTCTTCTTGTGGTGACTTGCCTCCTACATTCCATGTCCCCACGAACATCCTATTCATTATTTTTACATCATAAGAATAATAATTTTTCAAGAGACAAAGCACATCCAAAAATAAATATATATATCAAAGTCACCAATTAATTGCATGTAAGTTCAACTCTCACTATCACTACTTTGGATCACTTTTGAAATATTATTTTGAAAAAAAAAAAGAATTAATTCAAGAAATTTATTTCACTTCTATCCTTCACAACTAGAGTGTAAACAAGATAATATGCACGAAAACAAGAATTTGATAGGCCTGATAGTACTAATCTCGTTACATGATAATGAACGTTTAACTCAACTCAAAAAACTAAAAAGAGTGAATTTTCTCAAAAGATAAATCGTCCATTTCATCCAACAATTGTTGGATTACTAATCATCACCTACATGTACTTGTGCATATTACACTACATTACATCACATGAAGATTAATCATCAAATGGATTAAATAATTTCTAAGTTAACTAAAAAGGTGTTGTAGTATCTATTTAGAAAGCCTATGGAAACCAGCTAACTATAGTTTCACATGGCCCAAAAAAGTACTTAAGCATAATATGCGGCTTCTGGTTCAATGTTCTGGCTTTATTAATTCCAAATTTATTCTCTCTTACATTAATTAATCAAATTATAAGATCTAATCATGAACTATAACATGGTTATGCATCAAATTCTACACTTTTTTTGGGAAATTTCATAAATATACACTACTTGTCTACTTCCTCCGTCTTTTATTGGTTGATCACTTTCTTTTTTACACGTATATTAAAAAATTATAAATAAGAAAATAATTTTACTGATTCACCCGTTAAAAAATTTGGAATTTCACAAACAAATGTGACCACTTTTATAAAAAAATTAATTGCAAGGACAATATAAGAAAAATTTAATTAATGTTTTCTTGATTGAGTAAAGTGATCAACTAATATGGACAATTATTTATGGTAAGATGATCAACTAATATGAAACGGAATGCGTAGTTGTCATGTTAGTTCTCAATTAAAATAATCAAAGAGAGAATTAATAATTTTTTCAGCTTTGCCCTTAACATTAATTATTCTAGAATTAAGAGACACAAATATATAGATAAAGATTAAAGATTAAGAAAGGATATATTGATCAAATAATATTCCTTAATTATTATTTTTAGGTCTATGTCAAATTTTATCATGACAACTAAAAAGAAACAATGGAATATTTGTTTTTGTTGGTTTACCTGAGGTTTTGATGAGTGGAAGTCTTTTCACTCAATATTGGCTCTTCAATTCCTCCATTTCTTTCCATCAACCACCTTTCTGCTTCTCAAAAATATGAAATATAACAACTCATAGTTTAGTTTCTTATTTATCAAAATAATAATTGCATCAGAATTTGAAAAAAAAAATGATCTGCAAATTATAAATTTAAACGAAAGAAAAATAAACATAATAAAACAATTATGCAATTATTTTACCCAACTTTAATGTAATATTTTACTGATTTCATGTGAAAGGGTAATATTGCTAAAAGAACATTTGTAATAAATCATAAAATCGATCTCTTCCCATTTGTACTTTTATATAAATTAGTTTTGTAATCTTTTACAAAATTTCTTTAATTTTCTTTGTCTTTTTCACGAGATCTCTTTTTATTTTTACACATTAGAAATAAAAAAAAAATAACAAGCAATAGATCTTTTTAGGATTATTTTTTTTCAATTGAAATTATAAATTGCTGCATATTGAATTTTTTTTCCATACTTTCATTATAAATAATATAAAGAGCAATACAAACTTCATCTTTAACCAAATACACTAAAATTAAATAAAAATTATTCATCAATTAATCTAGTGTAAATAATAGATATTTTGATTGAGTTATAACTAACAAAAAAAAAAAAAAAGTAAAAATATTATCATAACCACAAGCTATTCCATAGATTGCCTTTGAGCCTAGTCAACAAATTTGGCTAATTAATTTTATTTTATCGTTTCACTTTGTAATCTCCTCTTCCATATTTTCTTTTTTCGTATAATTGTATCCATAAATTAAAAAAATAAAAACAAACTAGAGCCTAGGTAAGGCCACATACACGTGGCACAAGGAGAAGCAATGATTAGATATTAACCCATAATAGTGATTATATTATACGTCAAATCACATTATTAAAAAAGTCCATCAAATCAACGGCAAAGATGCATACAGTTCATTTATGATTCTATCAAAACCAAAATAAAAAGCTGCAATTCACCGGAAATATTTTTAAAAAAAATAAAAACTCCTCCGATCACCGGAGATTCTTACCCGATAATTCCTCCGGCACGACGGCGCAACTCCCGTCGTCGGAGCAACTCTTTCTTCTTCTTTCACCTCTACCACCCATCACTAAAGAAAAAAAAAATCTTACTTTCATACATAATAAAAAAAAATATACATTAAAAAAAAGTTGAAAATTTTCAATAAATGTGAAAATATTACCATCTATTATTTGATCGGAATGAAATTCCTCAGATTTGCTCCTCATATTCAACCATTTCCTAACTACCACTTTAGTCCACGAAGACTGCAAAAAAAAAAAAAGGTTAAGATCAACTCATTAGATTTTCAAGAACCCACTACTGTGTGTATAACATAAGCGGAACCAAGATTTTTATTAAGACACAAAATACACAAACTCAAGCAATTTTTACAACCTCTTAACTCTTATCTTATGTCAGGACGATGTTAATACTTGTATATATATTTATTAACACGCTCAACACCCATTGTACAAGGCCCTTATTGTCTGATGGGGGCCTATCTCTATATTTTTTTTTCATACTCGATACGTCTAATTAACGGAGGAGCAGTCTATTTAATGCGTAAAACATACTAAATATCCAACTGATCAAACAAAAAGAAAGGGTAAAAAAAATTATACCTTGGATAACTTTTGCTCTGTTTTCATGGCCACCAATGAAGCTGGAAAAAAAAAATGAAGAAGATGGTATTAATATTTTCATTTATAAGATATGTATTTAAGTCAACATAAGAACACAAAAGAAAATTTGAAATATATATATATATATTATCAACTATACATAGTTTAGTGCTATAAATAAGTCATTAATGAAGTTTTCAACGATGGAATTAAAATTATAAAAAACCCATTTGCAGGAGATTTAGAGACAGCTACTAAGAAAGAAGAGTAAACACAAAGAAACCAACCCAAAAATAATTAAATTTTCAAAAAAAGTTGTTAAATAATCCTACTTTTTTATGTTTTTTTCTTTTGGTTTAATGAACTTTACAGAATGGAATACAGAGTGGAGATATAAACATTTTTTTTTCACTTTGAACAAGTTTATAAGAATAAAAAATAAATTGTTCAAAATGAAAACCCATGTGAGATATTAAGATTCTGAACTCAAAAATCAGTGAAGAATTTGTATACCCATACCCAAGTAAAGTTCCAAGAAAAAAAAAAACAGAGTAAGAGAGGAGAGAAAAACAGAGTAATAAAATTGGTGTTTTTTTTTCTTTTTTTGGTAAAGAGTGAATGGCATTGATGATTATTTTGACAATACTTACATATATTGATTGATAGAATATCTTGATTTTTGAAAGGAAGTGAAAGACATATAATTTTTGTTGATGAAGAGAAAAGAGAGTATTTTTTTTTTTTAGTTGTAATTCATATTTATGGATCTTTCCTTTTCAGTTGTGTTTTTTGCACAGAGAAAGAAAAGGAAAATATTGGTTGGTCTATGAAATGAAAAGGAAAATATTGAAGCTTGACTTTACCTCGGAAAAGCAAAAAGCTTTAATTGGTTCTCTATTTATATAATGATGGAGAAGGAGAAAAGGATATTCATGTCAATAAAAAAGATTGTAGGGGTTAGAAAGGTAATTTAATTTAATTTGGACATTTTATTATTTTGATTTCCTAAAAAAAATCAATCAATGTCCCATACTTGCGTTAAAATCCTAACTAATTTGAAATCGCACTGTGTAGATAAATCTAAGAGAAAGAAGAGTGGAGCTAGGAATTGCACGAAGGGTGTTCAGAAATTGTACAACAAAAGCTCTTTTTTTTTTAAAAATGAGGAAATTGTTGCTTGCAAGATTCAAACACTTGCTCATTTGAGGCATTTGAAATCGTTGGGCTACAATAGCATGTTGTAATAAAAATGTTCAAAATATGTCATTTAATCAATTCATGTACTCCTCTGTCGTATTTTATGTGGCACTTTTTGGATCTCGAGATTCAAACAAGTCTATCTTTGACTATAAGTTTTTCATAGATCCTTTTAACATTTTGAATTATTAATCATTGTGACTTATATTACTTTTTACGTAGTTTACAAATATGTAAATTTCATTTCAAAAAATTTGAAGATTTCATACGCAAATTTCCGGTCAAAGTTAAATTGTTTAACTCTCAAAAAACAAAAAGTTTCACATAAATTGGGACAAAGAGAATATCATTTTACTTATATATACGATTTTTTTTCCGACGAAGGGTGTCCTAACAATCATGTTGCTCCGCCCCTGACTCCCTAGCAAGTTTGTTAAAATATCTTAGGCTTAAACTCAAAATCTTTGACTAACAGTGAAAGGATCATATCCAGTTCATTACTCAATGTCTCAAATGTGTATTACAATGTCACTAATTTAGATTCATGCATGTCATTATAAGGCTCATTTAAGGTGAAAGCAATGGTAGTGTATAGGGGTATGCATACGATTTTTCGGTTTGGTTTTGTACTATTTTAATTGAATTTTTTTATTTTTGATTTTGAAGAAGTGTAACTCAATCTGAACCAAAATAAATTTGGGTTGGTTTGATTTTTCTCTTTTCGGTTTGATTTTTTGGTTTAATCCAAAACCAAATCGAAAATCCAAAAAACCAATCCAAAATAGAATTTGATTTGTTTTTTCGGTTTAATACAAATAATGCACACCCATGATAGTGTAAGAATTTTAAAAAGGATATTCAAAAACATATCTTATATCAAGGAGATTCAACATTAATATATTTGTCATAATTAAATTATTTTTACCTTATTTATATAGTTAATTTCTCAACAAATGAGGTTTATTCACCTCTCTACCTCTACCTCTATCTCTACCTCCACCAATGTTGAAAGTGCTAGATCTATAACATGATATTTTCTACGTTTAAGAGTCGCGTTCAAAACCTCTAATTAATGAAAGAATGATTTTATCCATTCCACCAAGACTCTATTTTATTAGTTAAATAAACATAGACATGATTTTAGTTAAACATAGACATGAAATTTGTTTATGTGTTATTGGTTGATTGGTTGTGATTTGAGCCATAGAATGGAGTTGTGTGTAGAGGGGGTTTGTCTTTTTTTGGTTTATTTTAAAATATTTTGCTTGATTATTTACTGCCATAAATTCGAAACTGATTGGCTTTAATTATTTTAATTAAATAAAGGAGAATTATTGGATTGTTTTTTGTTAGTACTAGTAATTAAGGTTGACTAAAGATTTTCTAAAGATTCTTAAGCAATCTGTGTCAAATTATATTTGTCTCTCTCAACTATAAAATGAAGCATGCCTTATATTTGAAGTCATTTTTATTGAAAACAAACAAATAGAAGTTCTATTCATTAATGAAACAAATTTTCTTACAAAGTCAACATAATTATAATATTACTTCAAGAAAATCGCAATGATAAATATTAAGTTTTCCACAAAACTACAATCGTTATGAGATATTATAACTTGCCTTTTCCAAAATCTGTTTTCCGATATAATACCATAATAAAAAAGAAGACATGAATTTAAATATATACACTAATATATAAAATATTTATATAATTAGGTCATGAAGATAAAAATTAATTATATAATAAAAATAGTATTAAACCTGATATAACATGTTAAAATATATATAATAGTGTAAAAGAATTCTATTGTAGATGCATATTCTTTAAATCCAAAAAGTGTGTATATATATATATATATATATATATATAGTAGAAAGGAATATGGTTCTTCTAGCTATTTTCCAGCTATTTAAAGAGATTACTAAATGAGGAATATACTATATTATTATATGCTTTTCACTGTTCAGGTCATTAGGTAAACATTACTATATATATTTAATCAATAGAAGCATTATGAACATTTTACATGTGTTATTAGTATTGTAACATTGCCTCTAATCATTTTTTAAAACTTTTATTTGGTGAAATTTTCTTCACTTATATGATTTTCGATTTACTCAAAAAGTGATCTTTAAATTGTGGTGTAAATATATCTTTTGAATAAAACATCATATGAGAAAAAAATATTTAGACGATTAGTTAAATTTGTAAGTTATTACAGATAGTTAAATTCGTTTTTCATCTTATTCCATTAATTATCACATTGGTATGGCTTTACCGTGTTGAATTAACAACATAATTAGCAAATAAACTTTTGAATAAATATTCCTTTGTTCCACTTTAGATGGCTCAATTAATTTTACTGGTCATCATTAAATAATTTGCTTTTGTTAATACAACTATTTTTGCATTGATTCATTAATGTATTCTTTTACCAAAAATAAAAAAAAAGATACTATTATTCTTACACGTGAGAATTATTTTTTTTAAAAAGTACTTAATTAAGAGAATATCTTGACTATATATTAACAGAAGAAAAAAAGTTTGATCACATTGTTGAAGACAATTTTGTACAGTAATTTAGGTTGAAAACGCTTTACAAATATATATTATGATTTTTTAAATTAAAAATGTTAAATCAACAGCAAAATTTGGATTCCTCAGCCCTTACTCAAATCACAGATGTCTGGGTTTGAGCTCTTAAAAAAGAAAAAAATATCGTCAAGAACAATACCTCCGATATAAACCCAATAATGCACGAATTCTAATATAATTAAGCTCTAATATAAATATTGTACCCGAAGAGAAACAAAAAATAAAAAAATTTAATAAAAGAGGGTGACGATGTAGATTATAGATTCATGAACTGAGAAAATTAATTGTTTTCTTTCAGCCAACAAATGGTGACGATGATTAGATTGTGTTTAATTAAATTAATTAACCGGATCAGACACTTGTTAAGGTTACTTATAATTTACGTTAATTTAAGTTGAAAAAGTGATTTGTCCTACAATAAATACGAGTACTATAATATTTGTATATTTTTATAGACATGTATATGTCATACATTGAAATTTTTTCACATTTTCATCTGAAAAAAGTTTATTTATTTATTTTAAAAAAATTAACCTTTTTTATGTTAAAATAAAAGAATATGATTATGCAATTGTATTTGAGCAACCAAACATGACATTGAAAATTACTCTATATTTACGTTAGTAACAAACAAATGTCTTTGTAATTACTCCTTCGATCCTAATTTATTTGATGTATTTTTCTTTTAGTTTGTTTTTAAAAAATTAATTTTTTTCTATATTTAAAAATTATTTAATTCTAATATTTTTATTTTATTCTTAATAAAATAATTTATAATCACATAAATATTTATGACTTATTTAAACTATAAACTACAAATACCGTCTTACTTTCTTTCTTAAATAAGTTTCCAATAATAATAAAAAAAAGCATCATATGAATCAAGATAGAGGGAGTATTAAGAATCCATTTGGATTGACTTAAAAAATAGTTTTTTTAGTGAAAAAATAAAAAGTCAAACTTAAATGACTTTTTAAGTCAAAAAATAAAAATAGGGAGAGACATGTTTTTCGTTTTTAACTTTGTTAAAGTCATTTTTAACTTATGTTAAGTTGTTTTTAATTTTTTCAAACACTTCTAAAAACTAAAAATGACTTAAACGTAGTTTAACTAACTTTTAAGTCAATCCAAATAGGCTCTAAATTGTGTAATTACTATTTACTGCTCTCTCCATCTCAAAATAAGTGATATTTTAGAGAAAAAAAGGTATTTACATTAAACAATCAATAAATACAATATATAATTTCTTGAGAA